GCTGCAGCCCCCAAGTGTTAGCAGCAGCAGCAGCAGCCGCAGCAGCAGCACAGGAGCGGTGGCTGCAACGATAATATGTTTTTTTGTTTGTTTGTTTTTGATGGTTTGTTTAAATTAAAATAATAATAATTTTTATTATTATTTTGTTTCAAGACGGATGCAGAGGAGCAGACGAAGCCCCTTTACATACAACATTCATTTACTGTTGTTGCTGCAGCAACAGCAGCAGCAACAGCAGCAACAGCAGCAGCAGCAGCAGCAGCATCACCAGGGTGTCTTCTGAGATTGTTAATGCGTTGAATTTTCTCTATTTTTCTTCGTTTTCTCTCCCTCAAAGACCCCACCCCCTAAACCCTAAACCCTAAACCCTAAACCCTAAACCCTCGGAAATGCCTATAGACCCTTCTAAATGGCTTACTCAGCGTCATAGACACCCGAGGATAGGCCCCGCTTATCAAGCAGCAATCCCTGCCTTTGAAGGCTCTCCTCAGCCTCAGGTTCCTGTGCGTTGGTTAGGAGAAGGAGCAGCAGCAGCAGCAGCTGCTGCTGCTGCTGCTCCTGCTGCTGCTGGAGCTGGAGCCCCAAGTGCAGCAGATGCAGCAAACGGCAGGCACTTGCAGCAGAGAGGCAGCAGCAAAGCTGCTGCTGCTGCTGCTGCAGCAGCAAACAGACAAACCAATGGGACGCCCTCTAGGCCTGTTACTAGGAAGATGATGGCTGCAGCAGCAAGAAGCACAGAGCAGCAGCAGCAGGAGCAGCAGCAGGAGCAGCAGCAGGCAGCAGCAGGAGTAGCTTTCTCTGCTTGTCTCCTTGATGAAGCTGCCAGGGAATTAAGAGAGGGCTCTGCTGATGTGTGCATGCAGACCTTCTCTGCTGCTCTACCTGCAGCAACAGACAGCAGCAGCAGCAGCAGCAGCAGCAGTGCTTACGCACCGGCAGAAGCACCAGAAACAACAATAAACCCAGCAGCAGAAGCAGCAGCAGCAGCAGCAGCAGCGCAGGATGCAGAGACTTGTGGTCGCCTGGAGGCGGTTCTTTCATGTACAGCAGAAGAAGCAGCAGCAGCAGCAGAAGCAGCAACAGAAGCTGCAGCAGCAGCAACAGAAGCAGCAGCAGATGCAGAAACAGCAGAAGTACCAGCTACAGCAGCAGTAACAGCAGCAGTAGAAGCAGCAGCAGCAGAAGAAGAAACAGCAGCAACCGAAGAAGCTGCTGAGGCTACATCCGCAGCAGCAGCAGCAGCAGCAGCAGCAACAGCAGAAAAGCTAGCAGCACTTGCAGCAGCTTGTGTGCCTCCCCTTGGGAAGCACGAATTAGAGGAGGAAGACAGCAGCAGCAGCAGCAGCAGCAGCAGCAGCAATATAAAGAAGCCGAAGCTGCTGTAAGCAGCAGCAACAAATTGTTTATTAAGATAAATTTTTTATTTTTGTTGTCGCTGTTTATACAAACAAACAAAAACAAAAAAAAACGGATGAATGCAAACACAAATAAAATAAATAAACAGACAGAAATTTATATAAATAAATTTAAGTAAAGACAGAGACAGACACACAGACACAAAGAGAGACAGACAGATATACATTATATATACATTATATATATAATATATATACATATATATAAGTATCAATATATATATATATATATATATAAATATATATATATATATAAA